ATGGCCACCAACATCCTTTTTCAAACTATTCACATTATACCGTACCTTCGGCACTAATAACCCTTGGTAAATAAATCAATGTGAGATAATGTCAACATGAAAATAACAACGGAAAAAGGGAGCAGAAGAAGTCTACGATCATTAGTATTAGTCTCCAAAGTTAATTGCTTCCAAATGAATGCATTTTTCCTTCCCAATTTTTCAGATTTCTCTTTCCAAAAAAAAACCTCAAAAAGAAAAAAGAAAACAAAAGGATGTTAGGATGTTAAGTGTGACTGCCTCAGTTATTACGCAAACGTTTCTCTATATTATCATAGCAAACAAATTAGTTGGCGAGGTCTAAGAATATAAATTTTGTGCATCGCATAGGTTGGCACCACCTAATTTACCAACTCCTAACCCTTGAAGGGTGTCAGTGCGGTGAAGAATAACAATTCGTAATTGGATGGCCGTTCACGAGTGGAGCAACACCAAAATACAGTGCTTTAAGACGCGAGAGATCTGACTTCTCTTATTCGGTTAAATTTGCTCGCAATCTTCTACAGACCATCACCCAGGCAACCATGAATTTCGTATTAACAGGGTGTATTGAAGCGGAAAAACCCATTAATTAAAAAAACACATAGATGTGCAAATTTTAGTTTCTGGACCGTCTGGTAGATCTGATCTAGAGTTGGGGCGCAATACATACAAAAGGTTTCAAATAAATATAACCAACCCATCCTTCTTTATAACCTATACTATATTCAAATTCACGAAGCGGCACGTTTGTGAGATTTACTTTTGTTATATCTAAATACACCCCAAAATTTATCAGCATGATTAACGTGAATTAGATGCGTAATAATATTCTGATGCCTCGACACCCCGTTCAGTGAAACTGGGAAATTAAGCAACATTATTACCATAATTGCTCTAATGCTGAAATTTCACACCCAAACAGGATATTGAAAGTAATTAGCATAAATATTACGCATTTTGCTCACGGGTACGAGTTGGAGATTGATTGAGAATCATGTTGTGAAGAGCAATACCCAGAAGAAAGTAGAAAACTAAGCATTATATGTGACCCACCCACCAATTCGTCCAATCTGTTGGGTGAAATTAAGTTTTAGACAAGGATAATGTACTCTTCTGTCTGAGTAAAAGTAGAATATTATTATGCATGTGTGGTTGAAATTGAATAACGTATTCATAGCGGTAGTAATAGTTGATCAACCAATTTATTATATCTCAACTAAATCATATTTGGATCAACGTTTGTAAAAATTGTGAACTCATTCTCCTTAAACCAATATCATGTTTAGATAAGGGATTGATTAATAAATGATGACCGTGCCCTACATAAATGCACAACTCTTTAGTCTACAATAATTACCCTTTAATAACCCAAACAAGCATGCCCTTAAGGTAGTCCTGAGAAGCTGATTAATCGCACGCATAGAATAGTCAAATATGAATAGCCACTGAACCATATGGCAGAAATTGCCATCTGCAGGTTCCTTTTTAACACTACTGCTAGCCGCTAGGGTGAACGCACGCTCACTCACTCACACAGGAAAAAGAAAATTTATGCACCTTAGGTTAGGCTTAATCCACTTAAATCACCTTGCACGTTTAGGCGAACTCTCAATCGAATAAATTTTAACTAATCTTTTGTTACGTGAATCACCTGACACATTTCCAGGAAATCATTCTACAACTCTTTTCTCTCTCTCTTTGAATCTCACCCATAAATACCGGAAAGGAAATACTTGTGGCGTCTCACAAAGCAATCCAACAACCCAGAAAGGGGTGAATTTGTGAGACAGATCACCCACATTTCTGACTACAAATTATGCCAAAACTCCAAATTGATCTATGATCCAAGTTTTATTATTTACAACAATTAGCCGATAATTATAATTCCATTCAAATCTCTTATTAACCAATATACCAACTAAATCTATCGTCCTGACACCACATATAGAAAAGCACATCGTACCGTACCCAAACCCATACCACTTACAAAATTAACTCATAATTCAAGTAACATTGATCTCACCTCCTCTCTCACCGCTATTAATTTGACAACGATTAGCTGGTACTTTCTCTTGGATATATAATTCCCTTTCAAATTCATTTCAGAAATGTAAAATAAATATTTGTCAACCAATATACCAGTTCCGTACATTTGCCACCACCATTCCACCGCATACTAGAAAGAGTATCTACTATTTACCCATTCTCCTACCGTGTATTAAATTAACCAATGAACTAAGGAACTTCGATCTCCCCCTACCACATATTAAATCGACCCATGAGCCAGGCCACATTGACCTAACCCCCTCTCTTCTCTCACAGCTATTAATTTGGTTATATCAAGAGAAACGTGTTTAATAATCAATTCGAGAACAAGTGTGAATATATCAACTAAAACAAATTTTCCTATTATCATTATTTGAACGTTTTATCCAGTTACTGTTAAAAATTGTTACCCTACAACTAATTCCTGGCTCTGCCCATTTGCACGAGAACAATTCCCCCAGAAATTTTTTGCAATACTTGCTAGCTTACAAGTTTAATTTTATGGAAGAAGAAAAGTATACAAAATACTTTTTCTTCATATGGTACATGTTAAAATCGTTTGTTGTTTCAAAATCAAATTATTTGCAACTGATACTAACTTGACCCTCTATTCTTCCTGTTAGAATATCACGTCATTTTCAAGTTGTGACTGATTCAATTGCCTTGAGAAGTGTCAATAATTTCACCATCCTTAGTTTATATCTAGTTTTTCTGTTTTATTGGACAGTTCGTTACACAGCCATTAGGTTGCCCAGGACCCCAGCTGAAAACATGAGCCATTTGGATGAGTGCACTGCTATGTACACAGAGCCCGATCAAACGAATAGTTGTGTTCAGTAATATTAACAGTGTAAGTTGCTAAAAAAAACAATCCTTTGACATTTTGTCGACAGTTAGACTAGATTTTATCAAAAAAAAAAAACTTGGACTAGATTATCCTTACTGATTCCTAAGGGTACTAATAGCAATTTTGAGACAGATTTCTAGTTTTTCAGTTGATATACCTTGTTATTATCTTATAAGTGAATCCAGAAACAAACCAGCATAGTCTTCTGACGTTTAAAAAAATTCTAATATAAACACAATTTCAACAAGTAGTTACAACTCTAATGTTTATAAAACTAACCTATTAATTGATCAGAGATAAGCAAAAGGGAAAAATAAAAAAAGCAGGGCCATGAAAGCGTGTGGTACAGTTTCTAGATCAGAGGATGACTAATCTATGCAAGTGTGATAAAAGTAAATCAGCATCATGATGAAAATAAATATAAATAGGCATTAAAATGACTAAATTCATCAATCGATCAGTTCAGACAAGTTATTGCAGGCAATGCTAAGTCAAGCAACAAAAAACATGGATAATTCATCAAATTAGGCATCAGCAAAAAAGCATATTTTCTTAAAATTACAACAGACTATTAGACATACTTACCAGGCCAGGTGTCATTAACAACATAAATGGTCAAATTTCAACAGTTAAACTCAAAAAATAGATCAATCACACAAACACCATGATGAAAATCATGAAGCACATTGAAAAACGAATCTGGGCAGATAACAGAATAGTCTAAACTAATATTATTTGTTGCAGGTAGATAAGATAGAGGTCAGATTGAAGTTTAAAAACCAGCATGCTAAAAACCTGTTATCAATCGCCCTAAAAAGTACATATTGACAATAGACTCGGTGAACAAGTAGTGTTCACTATAGGTGACTCCAGAAAACATCTTGTGACCGCAGCCCCAGCATTCAGTTCACTTCAATCTTAAGAACATCCATTTAACTATAGAGCATTTCTATGCATGCTAAACAAAACTCAGAATCACTTAATGGTGCTGGAACACCCTCATCTCAAACTCCACTAATAAATTTTGCGTCAATTTGGAAATTTAAGTGGCACTTCAAGGAATCAATGAAATCTCTAAAGTTTTCCATTTCCACTTCAAGCCGGCAGTCCTATATATCATTGCTTCTCAGCCACACAGAGATTTACAGCAATCGCACAATCTTCCAACAAACATTCCTCGTATTATGCCAAAAGAGTTGAACAGTGTTTGATGACATTTTCAGAAGGGAAATATTAATGTTGTGACCAATGCTTCTTTTGTTGTAAGCTACCGTTTCTAGAATGCAAGCAACGCAAGCAAGCTAGCTTCCTTACTCTACTAGTAGCGTACGTTGGCGGCAAGGAAGGAAGCATTGGAAAGATTAGACCATACTAAAATAAAGAGGTATTCGGGAAGCGACTAGTCACTTCTGGCCAAGCTTCTAGAAGGCCGACCACTACATATACATCAATCATGAGCAATAGCAAAGCCAGGTGAGGTAGAAGCAGTAGCTTCTAAGGCAAAACCGAGCCACTAGGAGGGTAGCGCAAGAGGCCTACTATACATATATTGGATTAGTAACCAATGAAATACCAAAAAAATTACAACAATTTCAGTGAACCATTAAAGCTATCAGAGTGATTGATCAAACAAGTACCAAGGCCTTTTGAAAGACTTCTTTCGTTTTCGAATTTGCTTGCGTCAAGTCCTAACATTAGTATGAGTTTGTTGACCACGCAAGTGCGATCCATCTTGATGACGAATTCCACAACAAATCAAAATTAATCGTTTTATGTCTGCTCGTTCTCTCCTCTTCAATTCCAATGAACAACATGACCTTGACATATCATTTGTTCAATTTGGTTGATCAAATACTTAGTTAATTCTTTAATCTATATGTTCCCACCGATACCTAATCGACAACAAAGCTAAATGGCCTTTTTAGGTCCAATTCCATTCTATAGCAAGGATGAGTATTCTTGTTTATGTCGCACCGGCTATATACACTGTCTTGTTCCTATTAACAAAACATCCTATTTTACTTTCGCTCTTCTGGAATCAGTACAAATAAAGCGCTTTTTTCCATTGTTTACCTTAGTTACCCCGCCCCCCCCCCCCCCCAAGGGGGGTTTCGAGGAAGACCTATGTGGGGCATCTTTCGAGTGTGGGATGCATGTTTAACCTTTGTATTCATTTCAAAAGGAGTGTCAAATCCTAGATATGGTGTTAGTTGCTAATAAGGCGATCAAGATAAAAAAAAAAAAGTAAAAATGAAGGAAGGAATTATTTTCAAGGTCAATTCACGTAGAATGGGAATTTTTTAACATGGTGTTAGAAAATAAAGGCAAGACTAAATGGAAAACGTGGATAAATGGATGTTTATCTTTGACTAATTTTTATGTTATTGTTAGTGGCCAACTACGAAAGTATTTTGGTGCTTCCAAGGGACTTAGACAAGACGATCCTTTATCTTATTTTTTGTATACATTAGTGTTAATGTTCTAAGAAGATTGGTGGACAAAGCTAAGAATGTGAATTTAATAGAGGATTTGTGGTTAAAGGGACAGTTTCAAAATCTCATTTACAGTTTGTTGATTGCACCATATTCCTTTTATAAGGGGTGAGCCTAAAATTCGATACTGAATACCTATTTTGAGCATTTTTGAATTCATTTCAAGTTTGAATGTCAATATGAATAGAAGCTCTATTATTGGTCTAATTCTTCATGTGATAAGCTAGGAAGACTGGTGGATATTCTGGTTTGCTCTTGAGACATAGCCAATGAAACCTTAGGCGAGAACCCTAGATCTAAAATTTTCTGGGACCTGATAATTGGGAAGATAGGAAAGAGACAAAATGGAAGAAAAAAACACATTGAATATTGACATTACAGTCGGCTTTCTCAAGTATTCATTGAAAGATTTGATGAGAAAGTTCTAGTTGGTGGGAGTAGGAAAGGGAAAAAGGATCACTTGCTAAATTGGAAAATTACTTCAAGATACAAACAAAAAAGGGGCGCCTTCTTGTAGGTAACATCACTACTAGGATGATGGAAAAGTGGTTGTGGTGATGTCCTAAGGATCAAGATTGCTTTATGGTATGTCCTCATCAAAAGTAGGTATGAGATTTGGTGTACTGGCAGGAATTCTCATGTAGTCTATTTGGGGATTGTTTGAAGTCATGTACATCTATTTATTAAGAATTGTCTCGTGTGTAGATTTATAAGAAGATGCGTGGAGGAATGATAATTCATTTTCATTCTTACTTCCTTGTTCTCATAATGTCACAATAGCTTCTATGGCACATTCTCTTTCTTTTACTGTTAATTGAAAATTCAACTTTCTGTAGGAATCTTAATAACAGGGAGAGCAATGAGTTTTCATCCTTTTTTCTCTTTGTTGGATGGGGCTATTCTTACACAACCAATTCCTGATAAAGGAAGTCATCTATTATTTCTCAAGGGGCTTTTGTAAAACTTTCTTTGATATTCTGATTGATGACCATCCCAATTCCATGATTTTTCCCTTCAAAGATGATTCAAAAAGCAACTGTGCCCCTTAAAGTCCAAGTTTTCTCTCAGTCAGTTGCTCATAAGAGACTCAATACTAAGGTTTTATTTCAGTAAGCAAACCTAACTACATTTACTAAACACAGTGTTGCATTATGCGTAGCAGGAAAGAGGATCTTTCCTACATTATACAGTTGACCTATGATTATGGAGAAGATTATTCAGGAATTGTGTGGGTTTCACCATTTCTGTGTGAATCAAGGTTTGTGATTTATTTTTATTATTACAATTTTTGTTGTTGCTGAAAAAAAAAATTATGTCAAATTCCTGGCAAATATGCATGCTTCAGACTACTACAGAGCATCCATGGAAACAACATATCAGTTGGTTGATCCAAAGTTGAACATCTACAAATAGACTCCAACGACTTTAATAAATCCCAATCGTTTAGTAGAACCAGCCATGGGCTAATGTGGGTATTGCTGATGCAGGATGCAGTGAGGAGCAATAACCTGAACTTAGCATTATTCGCACGGGCAATAAGGCAAAGGATAGAAATGATTGTGTGAGATTTCAACACTGCACGACGGAGACAGGCTTGAAAGTTCAATTAACCATGTAGAAGAAGTAATCTATTAGCACAAAATGCTCCAGGAAAGCAATATTACTACTATTACCTAGTATGCTCAAGCTTTCCTAATCTCTAACACAGAAAAGCTCAATACGACATCCCATCATTACAAAGGGACCACCACTGCAACACAGATGTCAGCAGTAAAACAATCCGATTGCATTTTAGTCTTTCTGAAGCTGACAATCCTTTAACTCCTTCAACTAAGTTTCAAATCCCCAAAAATATCATGAAATGGAATGCTCCACTCTTTAATGCTAAAACTGCATCGACAATCTCCAATAAATAATCTGTGAGTAACCTTTTCTCAGCACCTCATATAAGATAACAGCCATTCAAATCCTATTGACCTTTAACGAGTAACTTATTATAGAAGCACCCCTACCACCTAAAGTTATCTAAATATCAAAAGAACCACATCCATGGCGGGAAACAAATAAGACATTCTATGTTCCATCATGTACAAAAGTAAAACTAAACTATCCCTCATAGCTTTAGACACAAAAGACATTTGACCAGAACTATGTTATGTTTAAACACTAAACGAACCACAGCAAACAGGGGTAAGGATTACCTTGAAGAAGCCTTATTACTGATTACCAGATCCTTGCCTTGCTTGAGCACCTGGCTGCTGCTGCTGTTGGATCTGGAAAAGGAGGTTAGCTGCAAATTGTAGTGTTGACCGATATCGCTCATTCTTATCAGCATCAACCTCCGATGTTCCCTGACCAGCTCCATACAGGGTAGACTGAAGTTGATGCACCTGATTCGTGAGCTCCAAATTCACTTTTTCAGAAGCCAGTGGCATGGCCGTATGCTGCTGGGAAACATTCGCGCCACGAATCACATTGGTCGATGTCACAGAATTAGAAGGTTGCTGAACGACTGATGAATCATATATACTATAAGCATCTGTTCCATGTCCCATGCCATTGCTTTTCTGAGTCTCCTGAGGCATTACTTGCTGATACTGTTGGTCAACCTGAGATGAGAGAGCAAACTGTCCACTCTGAGAAGGGATTGCAAAGCTAACAGATGGCTTAGATGAAACTGCACCTTGCTGTGGCAAGTTGAAAGTTTGGTATTGAATTTCGGGGCGACCAATGACCCCTTGTGCATAATGGTTAGGTGCATTTGAGGCAGTAGGGAAAGCCTGGAGTTGCGATAGGACTTGTTCTTGGGGATTAAACTGGCTACCTAATTGTTGCACTGAATGAACAGGTTGTTCAGGGGCTTGACGGTTATGTGTCCATTCATGTGGGACTCCTTTATCAGGCATAGCAGTAGGAGTTAACAAAGGCCCCGACGTCAAAGATCCCACGGTTGGTCGGGCACTTTCTGAAACAGAAAACTTTCCACTGGTGGGTAACAAAGAAGCTAGAGTGGCAATAAGTTCGGGTGTTAAAGTCACTCCAGCTTGAGACACTGCTGTACTACTAATTGGGGGAACAGAATGCACATCATTCATTGAATCGCTGGTCAGAGAACCAAGCAGCTTTGGAAGGGGCTTTGAGTCCTCATGTGCAACCCTATTATAATCTTCTTGCAAAACTCTTTCTTCCTGGGGTATTGCAGTATACTGAGTTTGTGAAGAAGGAATGTTCTGCCTACTAACATAATGAGGCTGAAGTGACTGTGGCTGCTCTGATTTGCCACTAGGGGCATGTTCTGGAAACTTTAGAACCACTCCATAGAGACGTTCAGGCCCCGCAACATTCAAAATCTTTGTAAGGAAATCAGATGGAGGCACCAAGAATAAGGTGGTCCCATCATCAAATTTTGCAACACCTGCCCGGTCTTTGGTCCCCAAGTAGCGCAGAAATTCTGTATACGAAGCAAAATCCTCTTCGCTATCAGGTAAAAAGAAAACAATACTAAATCCAACAGCATCAGCATAATGCTTTGTTAGCATGTCCAATCCAGTTCGAGCCGAGCAATTAACAACTTCAGGGCTGCAAAAACGAAAAACCAGCACTAGATTGAGAAAAATCACATGACCAGCAGTAATACTACTCCACCAGAGCATAATAGAATATTTGTGAGGTCATCAAATGAAAAAGAATTACTGCAAAAATACTATGTAGATATAAGCCGGAACTCTAGAATGTTGATGAATAAACAAATGATTTCTTGCTTTATGAAACTGTCGCCATTTTTTGGTTAATTATTTACAGTCATACTTGTGATCAAAGCAGGTGATGCACAAGATCATGCATGATACGGTAGAAGTATATGTGGTTATTTCAGGAGTATCATCGATATTTTTCCCTCTTCAATTACAGAATCAGAACAGTTTTTAACGGATTGGAACATAATTACATCGAGGACAACTAATTCAAATATTTGTAAATACTCAGCCCATGATTCATGAATCATTTGCACAAATGCTCAGCATAAAGAACTTCATTAAAGAGCTCCACAGAAAACAGCAATAGATGCATCTTCAAAATTTCCACAAAACTGCCAATCAGACTATTAACTATATTCTAAATCTATAATATAAAACAGGGTCGGCTTCAATAAGCCCATCCGACGGTCTCAAATAGACTCATCCAACAGCCACCAACATCCCTCTCAAAACCATTCACCTTGAATTTTCCCCTCCCAAATCCATTACTTCTCACCTACATTGCACCGTGCGTTTAGGCACGGGTTACCCTAGTAACTTATATTGATAAACAAAAATACAAAAATACAAAAATTGGTAAGTTAAAATACAAACATAAAAGAACGAGGTGAGATGCAAAATAATACTTACATTTCAGACTCAATCCCCTCCCCGATAGGAACACAACGAGCACGACAAACAGGTGTTCCACCCTTAGCAATAACGCCACGCCATACAAAATCATGATCTGGATGGCCCTGACCAGTTCCAGCAGCTGTAACTCTAGCATCAACAGGACTAAGGCGATTTTTCCCTTTAAAATTTGCAAGTGGAGCTGAAGCACCACCATTACCTTGTGGAGCAAGTCCGTATAATTGGTCCAGCCCCAGGCCCCGGTCATCTATTTTTCTAAGAGGTATAGAAGCTTCAAAAGCCAAAGTACTATCAATCCTTGACCTCTTAGATTCCCTAAGAAGTTGATTTGCATCAAAAACATCCCACCCACCGGATGAGTTTCTGATGGGTGGTCTCATACCTGCCGGATGAAAAGAGAGTATCCCAGGTGCAGGAGATGACCTCCAATTCAGACCACTCATCACAGTGTGGGGATTGTTGCCCGGAAATTTATCAAGTGTGGCCACATCACTGAATTCAGGGCCTGGAAGTAAAGGCTCAAAGCTACCTTGAGGACCCAAAGGCCTCATCAATACATCAGGTCCATGAATACCACGGGGAGGTAAAGGTCCAGGAAAACTATTCGTTACCATTGGGCGCTTATTACCATACACATCCATCTGTGCAGGTAAAAATGGAAGTTCATTAGAAAACATATCCAGCCCCGGCCCTTTTATTGCTGGATAAAATCCAGGAAAATCATTGTTCGGCACAGGGTCGTTGCTTGAAAACTCAATCGATATTCTCGGATCATTGAATAGCTTGCCCTGTAATCCTTCTTTAGCAAGTCGTGCTTCATCTACACTTCTGAATTCAACAAGAGAGTAGTGCCTTGAATCAACACATCTTATTCTTTCAATCTCACCAAATAAAATCATGGCATTGTGCAGCATCTGTTCATCAATGTGAACAGAAGGCGGGTAACTTATCCATAAGACTTTACTTGGCTGCCCATCCACTTTTCGCCCTCCCGAAGATTGAGAATGCTGTAACAAATGCCATGAAAAGAAGTTAAAATATATCAAACCTGCAAGACCAGAAGGTTAAAACTAATGCCTCATATTCAGTCTTTTCACAGGGCAACACCATTTGAAGAAGTCAATTTCAGGCAGATCAGCATCAGCTGAGCAAGGAACCCTCAATACATCACATACAGTTTTGTTGCACCAATAGAATGACATGAAGTTGGCAGCACATCATGTAAGGGAACCATTTAACCCTAATATTAGTTTCTTAGCAATAATGGCAATATCTGTGACATTTTAATACAACACTGTTATACAGTTGAGAACTACCTGTTGTCTTTTGGACCCAGCATGGGTAGGCTCATGGTAATTTCCCATGAAATCTTGTGGCATCCATGGTGAATCAGGAGGGCCCATGCTCCTGCTAAGAAACAGCCCCTCCCTTGAATCACGGAGGTCAGACCAGTGCTCCTGTTAAGAGGAGCAAAGTAAGGACAAGCGCAAATAAGTTTGAAAGAATGTTTAATAAATAGAGACATGCAAAAATATGGACACCCTGAGCAAAATCTGTAAAACATGCATTAGAAACTAAGACAGACAATACTTCCCTTCATCATTATTATTAATTTGGGAGAAGGTAAGAGGTTCACAGAAGTAACAAGAGTACGCTACATAACAAGTTTAGCCCTACACCAAACCCAAAACATACACAACCCTGATGAAGTCATATTTTGATATTAGACCATTTGATATTAACACCTAACGGCTCAAACAGCAGGCCAACTGGCACCTAAAGATTTCCAAACATATCATCTATGAAATGCTCAATTTTACCCAATCATCTATGAAATGCTCCATTTTACCCAATCTCATTCATTAGGTTGCAAAAGGTTATGTGGGTGGTTATGTGTGTCTCACTAATCATTCATAACAGTAATTTCTATGAAATCTACCATGCCACAAAAAATGAGCCTAAGCACCAAAGAGTGACGCAAACTCGAGGCATGTGAGCTGCAATCAACAGTTCAACTCAAACAATCAGTCAGCATCTATGATATCTGATCAATCGCTAATGCAAGTAATCATGAAAACCTTGCAAAGGGCAGTATTACACAATTAAAAGCATTCAGACATTTTTAGAACTTGTTACTTACTCTTCTTGAAGGTTGTGACCTCAGGAAATCAACACGTATCTGGTCACCACCTATTTGTTTTCCATTGATACTTTTCAATGCTTGAGAAGCATCTTCCAATCTGAAATATTCAACAAAGGCAGTGTTGCGGTCCCTCAGGAATTTGAACTCCTGTAGTTTACCAAATTTGAGAAATGCTTCTTCCAGTTCTTCTTTTGAAACAGATGGGCCGATTCCGCCTACCCACAAGCTCTTAGATGGTTTAGCCTGCAAAAGAGATTTATTGAGAACTACAAGCAAGCATGCTTAGGTTGAGAATAGCAAAGCAGGCAAACAAGACTCTTGAAACCCTGTGCTGAAATTATGCTTAATTAGAAGGACACTAGGAGATAATGGGGTGCCCAGGAATCTCAAACAATTTGAGATTGATCAATGGTTTATATATGCTGCTTTACTTTACTTCAAGTCAGATTCCAACTAACTTTGCATTGTGACCATAAAATCTTCACGCTTTTAAAATTCAGGATGCGGGGAAACAAGATGGAAAGTGAAGTAACAAGTGCCTACCAAAAATTGGAGTAAAATGCGTACTCATAGGATTGTTGACATGGCAATACAACACACAGAAAATTGAAATCTAATGGCAAGGATCAAATTTTCCTTTCTTTTCCACTGAAATGACCAAATGGAACCAAAATGGATCAGTGATTGAATAAAAAAAATTTTACGTTTCGGAATGTTTCGACCAATATTTCAGAAACTAATTTTAAAATTTTTTCTCCCTTCCTATTCTGTTTTTGAAATGTTTCCGCAACATTTGGTCAACATTTTCCTTTTGACCTGACAGAAAATATGTTATGAAACGAAATTTTCATCTTTGCTTATGGATTACCAAGCCCTATCAATTCCCTCTGGTGTGACTATTAGAATGCCGCACAAGCCCAAAACAACCTGAAACATATCACGAAAAATAGTGCATTCGTAGAGCTATGTGTTTTAATGTTCATGTAACTTACTTTTTTAGCTTTTCATACTTTTGGTTGAATTACTTATCCACCATCTTTATTAAAGAAAGTATGCTTCTTCTCAAAAATAGTAAATACATATAAGTCATGTGGTGAACAAGATCATAACCAAAGAGTCATGTTGGGAATGAGATCATTTCAGCAAATTTATATGAGATCAAACAAAAAATAATGAAAACATGAGGATCCACAGGGGTGGAGGAGATCATTTTGTAAACTGGATCATATATGAATTAGTTCAACAATCTTTACATCATATAACACCACAATGACAAACCAAGCATGATTCCCCTTCAAGGAAAAATATAGACTGTTAGTCTGTTACAAGAAGTGAATCCAGTAATATCAGTTCACAGACTGTTGCCAAGATTAAGCCAAGCAATTTGCTATGACAAAGTATATTACCCCTCAAACTATTCTCAACCACGAACAATTGTAAAGTCACAATGCTGCCTAATTTAACTAAAAGACATTCATTTCTTCCTGAAGAAGTTGAATGTTAGGTTCCTTTGTGTATAACATTGACTAAAACTTACTTTTAACAAATAACAGTAAAGCAAGAAATGGGGAAGTAAAATTATGGAGAAAATAATTAGACAGAAGAGTTGTATAAGCAAAATTAAAGCTCATTCCAGCCTGCAAGTGGTTGCGGACACCCCCTTCCCCAAGAAAACACCAAAAAAAAAAAAGACAAAATTAAAGCTCACCATACGGAATGCAGCTTTAGAAAACCCAAGGGTGAACGCGTTAGTAGTTAGGGGTGAGTTGAGAATGGTATACACTTAAACTATGCAAGTTTCACTGAAGAACTATAACACTAATGAAATTCCATGGGGCAAAAAAGATTAAGACGGTTGAAAAGGATTTCAAGAGGTCAGTGTAGCTCAGCTGAGGACGTGCCAGAAATACAATGCAAGATAAGGGAAAAATAGAATTATAAATATCTAAGATTGTGAAAAAATTAAAATAATATCAATTAGTTGAATAAGAGAAAATCAACAATGACAGTTTGGTCATACTCAATGAAGATCAAGTACTATACTAAAGTGGAAGAGGGGCATGGACCCTCTTAGAAGAAAATGCTATGCAAGAAGAATCCAAGATTGAGAGGGATCAAGGTAATTAGGAAAGGCAAGAGTGTCCACTTAAACTGATATTGTAGCCTATGCAGTTGAAAGCAGTTTTTTTCTAGTTAATATGCGGAACCCATATTTAATATATCTGCCTGCATAGAAAGCAGGGCATGTCATGGGTTGTAGGGAAGAGGTAACATGTGTACATGAAAGCATGTGGGAGCAGAGCGTAGGGATGGAGGAGGGAGGATAGTAGTTACTTGGGAAACAAGCCCAGAGAAAGCAAAACAAGTTGGGGTTGGTTTGGCCAGTAGAAGCATGTGGAATATATTTTCTAAGCAATGAATGAAATAACTCATAACTTGAGCTTTGTGCTAAGGTTAGCATCTTAACCCAGCTTTCATCTTATTGCTTCGAGCTCTCCCCGGGGAAGTGTAAACTGCAACACGTGTCTCTGTCCTGCCGGTAATTATGTCAGTCATTTGAATATATATGTTGGTATAGTCCAATTTATAATCATTGGGTCCACTATAACTATAAGGAAAAATAAATAGCTTCTGGAATATTACCAGATCATTTCCACGCAGTCGACCTTTTTCAATAAAATCTCTTTGATACCATGTTAAGTGCTAGTATATAACTTCACGAAATTTTGCTTGGATTTTTCTTTTTCGTGGTGTTATTCTGGGAGGAGGATTGCACAAAAATATTAGCACGCGAAGTATCACCAACCCAATAGAATTCTCCCAACTCTCATATTTGTCACAATTTACCAAAACATAACCCATGATGAATGGCTTCACTGAAGTTCCCTTCTAAGAATTATGTATAAAGTGGTGTCCTTAGTTCATGATCCAATTACCAGCCATGCTACTACCACTATGGCATCTTTCAAGATCCACTGAGCTCAAGTGACTGGAAGTTAGGTTCTTACCATGGACTAAGGGTCTGGCACATATGGCGTGAAGCAGAGGAAGAGCTGATTACTAACAATTATATTGCAGATTATTGTTGCATCAAGTCCTTGCAGAACATGCATGCAGCTTTTCATTTGCTTAGGAACTTGTAAAAGGTTAGCAATTGTATTTTTAACAGATCGGTAATTTGTAACGTGAATCGATAATTGCCTCTGAACTCTTAACTTTTTCTAAGATATAAGACTTCATGTTTTGAAATCCCATCTAATATATTGAAAAGACAAAGCTTCAAAATTTTAGTCTGTACTTTGATGCCATGTTCATTTGTTGTGATCAAGAATTCTGATTTAAGGAGAATCTGACAAAAACAGGCCAGTAGTTGGTACTGAAAAACTCAAAGCTCACAATATCAAGAGAGATTGCTTTAATACTAAACACTACTACAACTATTCTTCCAAAATAACGAGAATCCACACATTCAAAAATGTTTATAAGGAAAACAACAGACACAAGACATTCAAGCAGTTTTGCGAAAACACATCCTACAATCCATAATCAAGACACTACTTCAGATAAGAAACAGTGTTCAAATGGAGAACTGTCCTAACCACTCCCTACTTTAGATTTGTAACTCCTATGTATATTTTGGATGCACACAATCACGCAAACCACACATTGAGGCATTTAGGACTTTCCTACAAAAGTCAAACCTGATACACAAAGTACTAACCCCTATTGCCTTCTGAACCTCAATGAATTATATTACATCTCATCTTTCATAGATGGGCGCCTTCAATAATATTTTCCTAACAAAATGATGGAAGTCCCAACAAACTAAATTTTTCTATCACATGCAACCTTGAATAAAGACTAATTATGATGTGACAACACCCTGTGCATATAGCCACTTGGCTATCTCCAAAGGTTGTTGGCACAAGAGTAGGATGGTATGTAGCTACTTGAAACTACAAATGTTAGAAACTAAAACCCAATGATAGTCATCCAACCAAAAAGGAAAAACGACGTATAAAATGATAATTTTTGTGATCCCCATCCATCCAACCTCGTCGTGATCTCAAAATGCACAACTGTCTTCCCATTATTTTGCATGTAATGCATTTGTTTCTACGTGAATGACATGGATATATAAACCTCCCTAGCCAGATGCTTTAGAAATCCAACTGATGCTCCACCTTATGTACTCTCACTTTGTAGTTTCTAATCTCATTGTTTGCATCATCATGTGCAGTGCCGTTAATCTATACATTCAATATCCTCTAAATTTGGCCCCTTTCCTCAAATTCCTAAACACTCACTTTGCCTATTCATTGAAATGCCCAAATCATTGTTCAATGGACATCGGTTCATGAAGATTTTTAGGACCTCCCCTCCTTTTTGCATCTATTATAACCGGATTGTGGAATAATGACTAATCTGTTCAGTTCTTGGTATTTTCTTTTTCCTGCTTTCCTCATTTATTGCACTAACTGTTGGATTTTGTGACCACTACAATTGTATTTTCTTCTGGTTGGATTTCATGTCCTTGACTTTTGTACTGCTTTTCCCATTAGCAAAAGTCTCATTTCTTGCGGGAAAATAAAATTTTGGCTTCCAAGCAATATTGTTTGTCCATTATGTTAACCGCATGCCGGTCTACATGTTGCAGTAAAAGCTGAGGCTTTAATTGGACGGTCAGTTGTTCAAAACTCCTCGGGGAGTCAATCACAACAGCAAGAGTGGCGCAGACCTCAGTTTGTTTAGGTATTGATTTTAGTTGAAAATTAACTAATCAAACAGAAATCCTATAATTGTAAGTCCAAATAAGGATCGAAGACCTATAAATTTTTGCTCATTTAGCACCCGACTCAACCCGTCTAAAGTTTGGTAGACCATAAACATTACTTTAACCACCAATTACTTAATTGGAAATTCGGAAAAAGTCTTTTTTTTTTTTTTTTTGCGAAATCTCAGATCTGAAATTATTGGAATTGACTGAGAGTTCGATTCTTCAGCAAACCCTTCGCCATCTGGGCATTCAGAATCTTGATTTTTTTAAATTTTGGATTTTGTTAGGTCAGAGTGGGTCTGAATTTTTTATTTTACAGCCTTTGGATCATTTGAACATCCAGTTTTGCTGAGGTTAATGCACAAATCTATAACGTAATGTAAAGTTATACAAACAACCCAATCCCTGAACGAACAAGAATAACAAATCACCCAAATTAGAACCTAACGAGACACAAATAAGCGCATCAGAACAAACCGGTTTGGCAAACTCAATCTTAATCGCATTCCCTTTCAGAACCATCCCTTGCAACGCTTCCTTGGCCGATTTCGCATCCTGGATTCGCTTAAAGTACACGAACGCGTAGCTCCGAGATGAGTATGTCGTTATGCTATCCATTGCGCCGTGTTTTGCAAATAAATTCATCAAATCTGAATCCGTTACATCAGTCGACAAATTTCCGACCCATAGATTATTCGACGGCGTTCCCGACTCGTCAGAGTCCTTCGAATTATAGCTCGGTTTCGTTGATTTGTTCGTTTGAGGCATTGTTTTGGCGATTGAAAACCTTCGAGATCTACGGCACGTGAAGAGAGATTGGGGATTTGGTATACGATTGGATGGAGAAAGTTGCAAAAACCCTATAAAATTAGGGCAATAGAGATTTGGGATCGCCAAGGGAAATAAATTGAATTAAACAGGTAAGAACAAGGATATATTTACCGTGTAGAGAGAGAGCAGGCGATCGATGGAGATAAGAGAAGGCAAAGACGATGAAAACGAGGGCAAACAGACTGGGCGACGACGGAAAGGCAAGCAACGAATATATGCGCTATCTCCGTGTGTATTTGTACAGTACAGACCTGTGCGGAGCGTTTATGGATAGAACGTTGTCCTTATCCACGAGGTATAAAAATTTATCGTGCGTCGGTGATGGATCGGATCGAATCGGACAGCAAATTAATGTAAATTGTTTTAAATATTTTTTAAGTATTGAACCAAAAAAAAAATTATCATAGCGAGGCAATTTTAAATTATTTTTAAATAAAAAATTTCAAATTTATTTCTCAAACTTAAATATTTTGACCTTACAAAATCTTTTGAACCAACCCTTTTAAACTGCGCCGTCAAGATAAATAGTATTTTTTTTTTTCGATCGAACAAGGAAGGTGAGTACATAAAGAAGTAATAACATAAACAACTACACTTAGAAATTTAAAGCCTCGGTATCCTATGCCGTGGGAGTGATATCCTTCAGTACTGCCTATAAGGCTAGTGGAGGGAGTCCCTGATGTTCCAGTGTCCCACCCAAATGTGTTCCAAGTCGCCATCTAGCAAGTTCATGGGCAGCAGCATTGGAGGTTCTGCACACATGATTCATACTCCAATCATTGTGGTTCTGCATTAGCTTCTTCAGATCACTGATAATTGAGAGAATACTTCAGTGTGGCCTCTTGTGACTGACCATGGTTGTATGAATAATATTTTTGGAATCATCCTTTAAGAACATCTCCAACAATACTATTTAAAATAGTTATTCAAAATATATTTAAATATTCTATTATCTATTTTAGTTATCCATTTTTTCAAATTCACTCCAACAATGTTATCTGTTTTAGCTAACTATTTCAACTAACTTTCAATAATAAAATTTAAAAAATAGTAATTCAACTATATATTGTATAAATTTAATCAATTATGGGTTACAAGAATAAATATCATAAAATATGGGTTATAAGAGTAAATATCATAAAATACTTAGGGAGTTTTGCTAAATTTTGTGAGAGTTTTGTTAAATTTTTTAGGGGTTTCACTGAATTTTTAGGGGGATTTTGTTAGATTTTTTTACTACTTCGTCTTCTCATACAAAGCTCAGTGATAATATAGATCATAAAAACCAGATGATAAAAATCCCCAAATCTCCAAATACTTTGTGTTCGCCGTTGAAGAAGGATCAAGACGATGAAGCCCAGTCAAATCTCAGGTACCTTCTGCGATTTGTGCCTTCTACGATTTGAGATTTGTGCCTTCTGCGATGAAGATGATTTGAGATTTGTGTCTTCTGTGATTTGAGGGTTTGAGATTTGTGTCTTCTGCAATGCAGCCAGATCTCAAGAGAGATGAAGACAATGAAGCTTTCAGTGGACTAATTAAGCCTTCTAAAGACGATGAAGACAAAATCCACAACAAGCATACCAACCCATGAAAATAAATTACCCAAAAACAAACCAATAATCTGTGCTTTGGAGCTTCAGTGAGACAAAGAGAGAAATAATGGAGAAGGACCTTGGCACCAGCGAGGTAGAAGAGGGCTAGCTATAGCCAGCGAGTGAAATGGAGGCTACGAGAAATAGATAGTGGGATAACGAGTTTGTTGGAGCCAGATTTTAAGGGAAAGCTATCTAAAATAGCTAAGGGGGATGGTTTAGTCAGCCTCTTAGAGATGCTCTAATGTAACATAGTTCCATCCCTTTTCATTGGCCCAAATTGCTGCCAACTTTGTAGCCAATGCTTCAGCTGCTAGCAGATTCACCTTCGCATTAAAAGAAATTATAGTTCCCATTATTGATCCATCATTCCTTCTAGCAATGGCTGCTAACCTGGATCTAAAGGCATTGATTGCAACGTCAAAATTGATTTTTATTTTGCTTTCCTTTGGTGGAGATCACTTCATATGGGCTAATGGTAAGAAAGGGGGCTAGTTAGTTTCCGTTGCTTCCTTCTTTGATGAGGATAGAAATGCATTTGAGGGATACTTGGATTTCATTTAGGATACGCAATTGAGCAATTACCGAGCTCTAGAACAAGACTTTGTTTCTCAGGTTCCAAATAGCAGTGGACATGATTCCCATAAAAAGTAGTAGCTGGTTTTAATGGGTAAGCATTGGTCCAAACATGAGGGTGGGGTTCAGGATATGGTGAATCCATCGTTGGATGCTTAGATGAAATAGTTGTATCATCAAAACGTTCGAGAATACTAACGATTCATTTCCCAAAAGAGTTCAATGCTATCCTCATCTAAAACATAGGCAAAGGGATTAGAATAGTTCTGTTAGAACGGTCTAGGAGTATAAACATATTTTTAAAGAAAAATGTCAATAAAGTTCTTATAGTCATACCTTTATGTGAGCCTTGTTTGGCATTTCGTAACCAAATTGATTAGGTACGGTCCGACGTAAGCCAAACCAATGGATCCTGAACAAGTTGAACATTCTTGCTTTGTCACGATAAGACCATGACAAAGATATCTCTAGTGAAGCCCATTTCTTTGCTTGTATTGTTTATGTTGATTGATCCAACTCGTAACTTCGAGCTTTTAGTATGATTCTCCCACGAAATACGACAGCGATAGAAAGTTGCACATAGGCATAGGTTCTGTGAGAATATTTTGCTTATTAGGAACAAAAGAGACTCTTAAGTACGGTTCTAATTGAGACCCCAGTGTGTGAACCATATCATTCTTGCTAACGGACACATGAAGTAGATGTGTGTCCTTGTTTCATAAGATTGGAAGCACAATGGACAGGAAGTGTCTGAAATATGAAATAGTTAGACCCCGTATTAAGATTAAATAAGGATAATATTATCTCAAGAGTTCTCCTAAAATAAATAAAATGATGGTATAAAATTAGAATTATTGTTAAAAGATTGATTATGAAGTTTGAATTTCAAGCGTATTAACTTTCGGGGTAAATTGAATTATAAAGTTGTTTAAGTTTGAGAAGGGTAGTTAAGTTTTTTTATAAATATTTTTAGGTCAAAATAACGTTTTCATTGAATCTTGAAGGTCGAAAAACACTAGAATATGTTATATGAGTTGTATTAGAAGTTTAGAAGTATTCTAGAGTTAAAACATATTTTGGAGAGTATTTTAGTAGAAAATAATTTGGCATAACCTTAGTATTTTGACCAATAACTTTTTAATATCCGATTGACTTGAAATTTTTATAGTAGAAAGTAAACTTCAAGGGCTATAAAAGTGTATTTCACAAAAAATTCGTGAATTGACCTCTAACTAGGCCAAAGCTTCCTTGGAAATTTAAGTAAAAACTGAGTCCATTCGAACGCGAATGGATCCGTTCGAACGCTAGTTAGTCCCAATACTTTGATGTTTAATAGAAACTTTGATAGAAAATCAATATTTTGGAGCAAACCCCATTCATATGCCCAACACTCTGTTCGAATGCCATGTAAATCGGTCGAATGTCAACTTCTAGTTAAAACATACCGTCGTGATTTTGAATATCAAGTCTGCACCGACTATATGGTTTTCTCATCCTATAAATACATAAGGACGCCTCCCTTAGCCCTATTTCATCAGTTCTTTACCCTATGGAACTTTAGAGAGCAAGAGAGAAAAAGAAAAATACAAAATTGAAGGTGGATTTTCATGTTGGAACGGATCAAACACGCTAGGTTTACACACAAACTATGAAATCAAGTGGGGGATTCTTCTTAAGTTCTTTCATTGAGACTTTGAGTATTAAAATATTGAGTAGAACACAACTGGTAGATGCAATGTAGCTTGCTCTGCGGCCTGAATTTTATTCAAACTAGCAACTAATAAAAGGACAACCAAGTAGAATGCAATAAATTCCAAATCCAAGAAGGATATTTACAAGAAGCATACACCAAATCCCTAGCATTCAATCATTCAATTTTTACAATTTTCAAATACAAATACATACAACCAAGCATCAAATATATAACACACATACATTCAATTTTCAAACCCAAATACACAATTAGTTTCAGGCCTGAATAGTATGCCTAAACTGTATCTCTCTCCTACTGGATTTCTCTATCCCATTCTCTTATCCAAACCCAAATACACCGTATTGCATGCCTAAACCAAATAGAATGCCTAAAACCAAATATACCATACTCAATCTATATAATAAATCATGAATAGAGTGGGAGATAGAAATTTAAGCAAAAATTTTGTTGTTCACTCATTCAAGGCATTAAGCGCAAATTTTTGTGGTGAAAATTTTTTCTGCTTAATGCCTTTCCATGTTCCATACACACGCACACACAGAGAAAAGAGAGAAGGCATACCCATAAAAGATGTAGGAAGAGGGATGGAAGTCATAGTAGCAAGAGAGTGACAAAATAATGGCAATGGTCACTAGCACGTTGTCGTTGGCAGTCTCTGGAAGAGAAAGACAGAGAGAGAGAGGGAAAACAAAGTTTGGAGAGACGAGAGAGAGGGAAAACCAAGTTTGGAGATGGTGTATATACGGTTGTGTAGAAGGATTTGGCGTGAAATATGGGATTTGGAATGGGTGTGAAAGATTTAGTAGGAAACCGAAGATGTGATCGTTGACTGGGGAGTGAAAGATTGTCGGATTGCAATAGGAAGCTAAAGATTTCATTGTTGATTGGGGTGTGCGTGAATGAGAGAAAGAGAGATGCCGAGTTAGGGAGTGAGATAGGTTAATTTAAGGAATTGGGGTGGGGAATTTAATTTAGAGATATTAATTTTGGAAACTAAAAATTTTGAGTGATAAAAATATTTCAAGAGCTAATGTGGTACATCACATCAAAAT